CTGGGATGCAAGCCAGGTATGTTGATTGGGATGCAGGTGTCCCAAGTGGCAACTTAATTGCCACACCAAATGCCTGGCCCTGCTCCTATAGTTTAGAATCAAGTTTATTCAACCTCTTCCCCTCCCTGAACTCCCAGTGACAGGGCACTCGACCCGGCGTTTGGGAGGAGAGTGATCTGAGTTCTGGCAGAGCGACTTGCTGGAGACCCCAGAAGACACTGGCGCCTACTCCACAGTACAATTCAGACCTCTGTGATCTGAGCGGGCACAAGACCTTGACCCTCAATATTAGATAGCATTGACATTTTAGTGAAGAAAAAGGCTCGTCAGTGGGAATCTGTGTGTCACTCACATTTATGTTTTGAGAGAGAAAAAGCATTTTTGTAAAATATTTAAATTTACATTAGATATAGTTCTGGAAGTTTAGACCAGAGCCATTAGGCAAGAAAAAGAAATTAAAGGGATACAAATTGGGAAGGAATAACTCAAACTATCCCTCTTTGCAGATTATATGATTCTTTACTTAGGGGATCCAAAGAACTCTACTAAGAGACTATTGGAACTCATAGAAGAGTTTGGCAAAGTAGCAGGATATAAAATCCATGCACAAAAATCAACAGCCCTTGTAAACACAGGCAATGCCATGGCTGAGAATGAACTTCTAAGATCAATCCCATTCACAATAGCCACAAAAACAATCAAATACCTTGGAATAAACTTAACCAAGGATGTTAAAGATCTCTACAATGAAAATTACAAAATCGTAAAGAAAGAAATAGAAGAGGATACCAAAAAAAGGGAAAATCTTCCATGCTCATGGATTGGAAGAATCAATATCATCAAAATGTCCATTCTGCCAAAAGCAATTTATAGATTCAATGTGATACCAATCAAAATACCAAAGACATTCTTCTCAGATCTGGAAAAAATGATGCTGAAATTCATATGGAGACACAGGAGACCTCAAATAGCTAAAGCAATCTTGTACAACAAAAACAAAGCTGGAGGCATCACAATACCAGATTTCAGGACATACTACAGGGCAGTTGTAATCAAAACAGCATGGTACTGGTACAGAAACAGAGGGATAGACCAATGGAACAGAATAGAAACATCGGAAATCAATCCAAACATCTACAGCCAACTTATATTTGATCAAGGATCTAAAATCAACCCTTGGAGAAAGGACAGTCTATTCAATAAATGGTGCTGGGAAAACTGAATTTCCACATGCAGAAGCATAAAGCAAGACCCCTACCTTTCACCTTACAGAAAAGTCCACTCAACATGGATTAAAGACTTAAATCTACGACCCAACACCATCAAATTATTAGAGAGCATTGGAGAAACCCTGCAAGATATAGGCACAGGCAAAGACTTCTTGGAAAAGATTCCAGAGGCACAGGCAGTCAAAGCCAAAATTAACATTTGGGATTGCATCAAATTGAGAAGTTTCTGTCCTGCAAAAGAAACAGTCAGGAAATTGAAGAGGCAACCAACAGAATGGAAAAAAATATTTGCACACTATGCAACAGATAAAGGATTAATAACCAGAATCTACAAAGAAATCAAGAAACTCCACAACAACAAAACAAACAACCCACTTAAGAGATGGGCTAAGGACCTCAGTAGACATTTTTCAAAAGAGGAAATCCAAATGGCCAACAGTCACATGAAAAAATGTTCAGGATCACTAGCCATCAGGGAAATGCAAATCAAAACCACAATGAGGTTTCACCTCACCCCAGTTAAAATTGCTCACATACAGAAATCTACCAACAACATATGCTGGCAAGGATATGGAGGAAAAGGGACACTAACCCACTGTTGGTGGGAATGCAAACTGGTAAAGCCACTATGGAAGACAGTCTGGAGATTCCTCAGAAACCTGAATATAACACTACCATACAACCCAGCCATCCCACTCCTTGGAATTTACCCAAAGGAAATTAAATTGGCAAATAAAAAAGCTGTCTGCACCTTCTAATGTTTATTGCAGCTCAATTCACAATAGCTAAGACCTGGAACCAACCCAAATGCCCATCAACAGTAGACTGGATAAAGAAATTATGGGGGCCGGCGCCACGGCTCAATAGGATAATCCTCCACCTGCGGCGTCGGCACTCCGGGTTCTAGTCCTGGTCAAGGCACCGGATTCTGTCCCGGTTGCCCCTCTTCCAGGCCAGCTCTCTGCTGTGGCCAGGGAGTGCAGTGGAGGATGGCCCAAGACCTTAGGCCCTTCACCAGCATGGGAGACCAGGAGAAGCACCTGGCTCCTGGCTTTGGATCAGCGCAGTGCGCCGGCCACAGAGCGCTGGCCACAGCGGCCATTGGAGAGTGAACCAACGGAAAAAGAAGACCTTTCTCTCTGTCTCTCTCTCTCACTGTCCACTTTGCCTGTCAAAAATAAATAAATAAAATAAATAAAAAGAAAAAAAATTATGGGATATGTATTCTGTGGAATACTATACAGCAGTAAAAAATGAAATCCGGTCATTTGCAACAATATGGAGGAATCTGGAAAACATCATGCTGAGTGAAATAAGCCAGTCCCAAAGGGGCAAATATCATATGTTCTCCCTGATGGGTGACAACTAACTGAACACCAAAAAGGAAACCTGTTAAAGTGAAATGAACACTATGAGAAATTGTGACTGAATCAGCCCTTGTCCTCACTGTCGATGAACAACTTAATACTTTATCCCTTTTAGTATTTTTTTGTTCTACTTAATACTACTGGTTGAACTCTTTAACACACAATTATTCTTAGGTGTTTAAATTTAACTGAAAAGTGATCCCTGTTAAATATAAGAGTGGGAATAAGAGAGGGAAGAGATGTACAGTTTAGGACATGCTCAATCGGGCTTGCCCCAAACAGTAGAGTTAGAAACATACCAGGGGATTCCAATTCAATCCCATCAAGGTGGCATGTACCAATGCCATCTCACTAGTCAAAGTGATCAGTTTCAGTTCACAATTGATCATAATGATAGGACTAAGAGTCAAAAGGATCACATAAACAAGACTAGTGTCTGAAAATACTAACTGAAAGAATTAAAAAGGAGATAACAATCCAACATGGGAAGCAGGATACACAGCAGACTCATAGAATGGCAGATGTCCTAAACAGCACTCTGGCCTCAGAATCAGCCCTTAAGGCGTTTGGATCTGGCTGAAGAGCTCATGAGAGTATTTCAGGCATGGAAAGCCAAGACACTCTGGCCAAAAAAAAAAAAAAAAAAAAAAACACAACAACAACACTAGATGAAAGATCTCTGTGAGTGACACCCCAGTGGAAAGAACAGGCCATCAAAGAAGGAGGTACCTTTCTCTGAAGGGAGGAAAGAACTTCCACTTTGACTATGACCTTGTCTAAATATGATCAGAGTTGGCGAACTCCTTGGCAGCTCATGACAAGAGCCTCAGGTGATTACTGAAGTCATAAATAAGAGTGTCAATTGTTAAATCAACAACAGGAGTCACTGTGCACTTACTCCCCATGTAGGATCTCTGCCCGTAATGTGTTGTACAATATAAATTAATGCTATAACTAGTACTCAAATAATACTTTACACTTTGTGTTTCTGTGTGGGTGCAAACTGTTGAAATCTTTACTTAATATATACTAAATTGATCTTCTGTATATAAATATAATTGAAAATGAATCTTGATGTGAATGGAATGGGAGAGGGAGCGGGAGATGGGAGGGTTGCGGGTGGGAGGGAAGTTATGAGGGGGAAAAAGCCACTGTAATCCAAAAGCTGTACTTTGGAAATTTATATTTATTAAATAAAAGTTACAAAAATTTACATTAGAAACTGTTAGAAAAATATATGGAGAGTGTATACAAAACTTGTTTTTTGCACAGGACTGGGGAAGTTCAAGGCCAAACACTCTGTAAGTAAAATTAGGATCCTTCTTCAATATTGGAGTTCAATGTCCAATCGCCTTGTAAAATATTTCATTCATTTGGAATGAAACCTCAGACAAGCCCAAAGGGGAGTTAAATTCCCCTACACATCAATAAGCAACAGTAAGAGAGTCTTGAATGTTTTGGCAGAAAAAATACAGTTTTCCCCCATTGATTTTTTTTTCTTTTTTTAAATTTTTATTTAATGAATATAAATTTCCAAAGTACAGCTTATGGATTACAAAGGCTTCCCCCCATAACTTCCCTCCCACCTGCAACCCTCCCCTTTCCCGCTCCCTCTCCCCTTCCATTCACATCAAGATTCATTTTCAATTTTCTTTATATACAGATTATCAGTTTAGCATATATTAAGTAAAGATTTCAACAGTTTGCACCCACATAGAAACACAAAGTGAAAAATACTGTCTGAGTACTAGTTATAGCATTGAATCACAATGTACAGCACATTAAGGACAGAGATCCTACATGAGGAGTAAATGCACAGTGACTCCTGTTGTTGACTTAGCAAATTGACACTCTTGTTTATGGCATCAGTAATCACCCTAGGCTCTTGTCATGAGTTGCCAAGGCTATGGAAGCCTTTTGAGTTCACCAACTCTGATCATTTTTAGACAAGGTCGTAGTCATCCCCCATTGATTATTACAATATCTTGGCATGATGTCAGCTAGCGTAGACATTTTTATTGTGCAACACTACTGTCCAAAGTGAATAAGACTCTAACCTTGAAACAAATCAGTGAGTAGCTATGGAAACGTGTAGAAAACAGCTGCTTTATGTGTCCAGATTTCACTATGCAATTCACTGGTAAACTTAGAACTCAGAGGTTAAAAAGAACAAAAAATATATATATTAAAAAATAAAAAGGAAAAAGGTGCATCTTGGGATGTAGGAGAATGCATCCACTGAACAGTACAAAGCCCGTGTTATGTAATCTGGATTCCAGATTTCAGGGAGACCACATAAAGAAGCGGGAAATGGAAGGTATGGGGACAAACCCCTCCTCCGCTTCGGCCAGTGAGCAGGCGGGAGGAGAGGTGCAATCAGAACCCGGCGCTCCACCAACCCCAGGCGGCTGAGCCGTTGCTTCCGGGGCAGGGGTACCGTTGGTGGCTGCCCGCTGCCGTTACTGCCCCCGCTTCCTACAGAGCTCGGAGGACAGAGCAGACGATGCCCCGGGTCTCTCTGGCCGGAAGTCCAGTCTGCAGCGCTGTTTGCCGTTCAGTCTCGCTGCGGCACCACATTCCTGAGGTCCGCAGTCCCCAGAAAGAAATTGCAAACTCTCGATTTATCCCCAGGATTATTCCGGCCTCTGTGATCACGGGAAAAGCCGCCTCTGGCAGGGTCGCAGATGGAGGAAGAAGGGGATGAGAACAAAGAGGACATAGAGATTGAGGAGCCAAGGAACAAAAGGTTAGGTAAGGGGGACGACCAGAGCCAGCTTTGGGCGCGGGAGCTTCCTTTTTTTTTTTTTTTTGACAGGCAGAGTGGACAGTGAGAGAGAGAGACAGAGAGAGAAAGGTCTTCCTTTGCCGCTGGTTCACCCTCCAATGGCCGCCGCTGCAGCCGGCGCCCCGCGCTGATCCTGGCAGGAGCCAGGAGCCAGGTGCTTTTCCTGGTCTCCCATGGGGTGCAGGGCCCAAGCACCTGGGCCATCCTCCACTGCACTCCCTGGCCATAGCAGAGAGCAGGCCTGGAAGAGGGGCAACCGGGACAGAATCCGGCGCCCCAACCGGGACTAGAACCCGGTGTGCCGGCGCCGCAAGGTGGAGGATTAGCCTATTGAGCCACGGCGCCGGCTGGGAGCTTCCTTTTCTAACCCCAGGTTGCACCTGCAGCCTTCAGAGGGAGGGGCGGGGCTGAGGCCATTACCCACAACAAGGGCCCTAAGTGAAAGCCATTTTCATTCATTAAAAATTAAAAAAAGACACCACCACCCCAAAAGAAGTGAACCCACCAGTCTCCACCACATTTCCCACACTTAGAAAGGCTGCATTTCATTAAAAGACTCCAGTAGGAAACTATTTTCTCTTTGGAAGCAGGGCAGAATGAAAAAGTGACACAGGAAAATGGAGCCAAAGCCCCTTTGAGGCTGCAGTTGCTGGAAAGTAAGATCTGAGTACCCTTCCTCATTTTCCTAATATGTTGATAATTACCCAGTGAGCAACAGAACACGGAGAGGACAGAGAAAAGAAACATTACTTGGGGGTTTTGCTTTTTCTTTCTTTAGCATAGAAACAATAAATTGTTTTGCTTGTTTCTAGTAACAAAGAGAGTGATAATCATCTCAAGTTTGGTATGTGGAGGATTTGCCTTTCTTCTTTGGGGGATTTTAAGATTTCCTAAGAAATGTAAGTGAACAATTTCAGCTACAAATTATGACTTGTATTATTGATGATCTGATTTGATAGAAACAGCTAGTCTAACTTTTCCTGAATCGAAACAGTGGAACTCAGAAGTGTTACCCAACCAGAGCATCTATTGCAAACTTAAGCACCAGCTTTTCCCTCCTGGAAGGATCAGTCTGCTCAGGCTTTTGAGCTTCAGACATTGTGCAAGGTGCTCTTGATACAAAAATGAAAAACAGAATTTCTTACCTGAAAAATTGTCTTTAACTGAAGAAACAAGCAGGGATGTAACATAATAAAATAATTGCTAAATTGTAGGCCTGTGTTCAGTCTAGTAGTCAAGTTATACTTCCTGAAGGGGAAGTATTATTTCAGGTCAAGCAGATATTTGTCCAAGAGCCCCAGAAAGGACCACACATGTCAGAGAAGCACACCAAGTATAATTGTGAGAGAGTGAAAAAGATGCAGGGGCTGGCGGTCGGGTTAACATTTCCCAGATTCACTAATTTCCTTACACCCCTAAGTGAGTATTTTACACCTGGCTTCCTATTTGTTCTAATTGTCATTATTAATAGGAAACGTCACATACTCTCATCACCACTCCTACTTACTTATCTCCATCGCTACCCACAGACTCTAATTTCTCACACTATCAATAGAGTATTTAGGATGTACACAGAGCCTGTATCCTCTCACTTTATTGGTAGTGTTAATTTAGTCATTCTATTTTCTCTCTGCCTCGTTGAAATACCTCTGTCAGCAATACAACATGACTATATCTATACCCTGAACCTTGGAAACAAATGAAAAACTCATTCAACCCCACTCCTCCTTTTGCTACCAATATTTTTTTCCTCCTTGGTACAACAACCTCCTTAAAAAAAACTACCTATACTAATTGTTTCTTATCTCTATCTTCCCATTTTCTGTTAATGTTGCAGCTTTTCCTACCAAACTGGCCTTTCAGGTTCACCAGGAACTTCCATAGTGCAAAACTCAGTGGTCTATTCTCGGTCTTCATCTTGTTAGACTTGTCCCCAGCCTCTGACACTTCCTCTTTCTGAAAATAGTTTCTTCTCTTGGCTCATACAACACTGTGTGCTCATGGTCTGAGTCCTACCTAACTTACTGCTCCTTCTGTATTTCCCTTACCTGTTCCTACTTGTCTCCCTGACCTCTTAGCTTTGCTGTGTCCCAGGGCCCCATCCTTGAGCAAGGTCCCTCTTCATGTAGTCTTGATACCGTTGGTTATCTCAAAGACTTAGAACTTTAAATATCACATCAGTACTGAGCCCCCCCTAGATATGCATCTCCAATCCGGCTCTTTGCCCAGAATTTAAGCATTTTACATACAACTGCCTACCTGATTGCCTGTAATGTTATCCAAGCTGAAATCTTAATCCATCTCCTTTCCATAGCCTCCTGTGTCGTCTCAGGAAAGACTAATATTCATCCTTCCTTCCAGTTTTAAACTAAAAAATACCTGATAGTCACTTTTTGTTTTTCCTTTCCGTGGAGCTGCTATAATCAGCAAATTCTGCCTGGGCTTTCAAAATACAGCAAGAACCTGAGTGTTCTTCAAAATCTCTACTGTCAACACTCTCATCCTCTCTCTTTGAATGTCTCTTCCACCCTTGACCTCACTGAGCAACATTGCCCAGCGAAAGTATGATGTGAGTCGAAACGTGATTTGTGTGCATGCCTGCTTGACATTTTTACAAGTCACACAACAAAAATCCAAAGAAATGAGTAAAAATAATTTTAATTATTTTTATTTAACCCAGCAGAGTCAACTACACTGCCATTTCACCAGATAGTGATGTGAAAAGCGGTAATTAGATCCTTCCACTTATTTTTTTGTACCGTGTTCATATTCCATGTGCTACTTTCCACTTTAAGAACATCTGGATTTACCCACATTTAGAGTGCCCAAGAGTCACTTGTGCCTAGTGGGTACCATACTAGACAGTATTCTAGAATTTATTTTTAACAAATTTTTTCAAAAATAATTGGATCTGTTCAGAATTCTGTGATGATTTTTCATTTACTTGGAATAGAGCCAAAACCTTGCCAATGGCCTACGATGTCCTGTTGGATCCAGTCACCCTTGACCTCCCTGACCCGATCTCCTGTGTCTTGCCCTGTCACTCAGTCTTCTCCAGCGATATGGATATCCACAATTGTTTTGTGAACAAGCCTGGCAAGTTCACCTCAGTCTTTCGCACTGTCTCTTAACCATTGCTTAGGAAGATCTTCCACTGTACGTCTGTGCCTCCCTGGCCCACCTCCTTCTAGTCTTCATTAAATATCATCTTCTCATTTAACCCTATCTTGATTGCTGTAGTAAAATTAAGTCCTTTCTATTAATAATCCTGATCTCTTTGATCCATTTTCTGACATCATATAATTTCAAATATGTAAATTCTATAAGAGCAAGAGTTTTTGTATGTTATATACACTATTATATTCCTAGAACTACAAAAACTATCTAGCTTATGGTAAGCATTCACCTGGTAGTTGTTGAATATGTAAATGAAAGAGTGAATGGATGAGAAACTCTTTCTGGGGACTCCAGTATTGAGCCAAGTACTTGATTTTTATGTTAACTGTTGATTTTTAACGACATTTTAAAATAATGTTGAACATGAAACTCTCAAATAATTTTGGTGACCTGATTTTTTTCATTGCCTTCTATGTCTCATATACATATACAACCACATTGCTAGTTTATCCTCACATTTAAAAGTCTGACTAATAAAATAAATTATAATTAATAAATGAGTCATTTCTCTTAGCAGTGAGTAAGAGATGCTTTAAATCCTGTTTCTCTCCTGCTTATACTTAACAAATACTTTACCTGTCTAGTGCAGTAAGTCAGGAAGCAAAAGTGGGTGGTAAAAGCTAGTAATGTTTTAGCATTTTTTTCCTTTTAATGTTTTTTGTTTAAGGACAAAGAAATAGCTTCAACTTCTAGAGAAATACTGCCTTTGAAGGGCAGTTTAGTCTCAGCTCACTCAATAAGGAATCAGTTCTTTGAGGTTATGAATACAGAGGAATTTGTTTATTTATCATGAAATTTGTCTCAGGTGGCATAGTAAACTTTAGGAAAGGAACCTGATGAATAAAGAAATTCCAGTTGTATGGGGACAAAATGGAGGGGAATACAACGAGGATATTTAGTTTCTGGAAGTTTATTTGGTTGTTATTGTTGTTTTAAATGATACAGAAGTCTTCATTCTCCAGTGTTCTTTTCTTCCATGTTCTGTTCTTGATATTTAGTTGCTCTTGATATTCAATTCAAACCTCACTTGAGTTGATATTTAAGGTTAACTCATTCAAACTGAATATGGAAGTAAAATACATTTTATCAATCTGAAATATATGAACTCTTTCACCCTGAAAGTCAAGCTTTTCATTTCTCTTACACATTCTTAATTGCTTTCTTTACCACTGTGGTCACTGTAGTTGGAATTACAAAGATGATTAAAGAGAACATGTGTACAGGCAATGTCAGTCATTGTCTACAAGGCTGGAACCAAGTCAGTAACAATTGCTTCCTTCAATCTGACCATGAGACAACTTGGATGAATAGCCAAGAAAACTGCAAAGTCTACTCTGCATCTCTGGCCAGGATCAGCTCCCAGGAAGAAATGGTTAGATTTCTTCTTTACAATTTTGATTCCATTTGACTTTGAGTGGCTTTCCATTGCAGATGAATTCCTAGGGTGGGGTGCGTTAGTCAACAAAACAAAGAACTTTGCTTTTGTGGAGCTTGCAACCCAGAGGAAGAGACAGGCAATAAAAAAATAATCATAATAAACATGTAAGTGATATAATCGTGTGTTAGAAGTAAGTTTTATGCAACAAGTGTACAAAATAAGGGGTGCTGTGACATTCCAGGCAGGCAAATTGCAGATGAGGTCATAGCTCATTGAGAGCATGGCATTTGAATAAAGACTTGAAGCAGATAAGGAAGTTAGTCCAAGGAATATCTAGGGCCAGGAAAAGAAAAGGGTGCAACCTTGGTCTCAAGTTTAGGCGCATGCCTGGACTATTCCAGGAATAGCACAGAGACAGCCAATCAAAGCCTAAAATAAGGAAGTAAGTGGGCGTGTGAATCCTAGAATCCTGCAGACTGTTGTAAGACTTTCATTTTTTGCTCTGAGTAAAATACTGATATATTTTAGAATTATGAGAAAAAGTGTGATATGTTCTATCATAAGTTCTTTTTTTTTTAAGATTTATTTATTTGAAAGGCAGAGTGATAGAGAAGGAGAGACAGAAGAGAGAGAGAGAGATTTTCCATCCACTGGTTCACTCCCCAAACGGCCACAACAGCCAGGGCCTGGACCAGGCCAAGGCCAGGAGCCAGGGGCTTTTTTCTGGTCTCCATGTAAGGGCCCAGACACTTGGGCCATCCTCCGCTGCTTTCCCAGGCACATTAGCAGAAAGCTGGATCCAAAGTGGAGCCAGTACCTATTTGAGATGCCAGCGCTGCAGGCAGTGGCTTAACCAACTGTGCCACAGTGCCTGTCCCTTGTCCTAAGTTTTAAAAGAGTCATTTTCATTGCTCTGATGAAATTGACTACTTAGTGGCAATTAGAAAAGCACAGAATCATTGGACAGTTTCAGTGACGGTGTCAAGAAAATAGGAGACTCAGGCGAGGACAGTAGCATCATAGGTAGCAAAAATGGGGAACATAGGAGAAATCCAGTGCGGTACTTTGTGTTTTGTGAAAGGAGTCTATGATTCTCTTCCTGAAGCCCTTTTCATATTGGATTGACCTGAGCAAACACAATGGAAACAGCAGCTGGGAGTGGGAAGACAGAAGTCCAATCAATAATTGGTAAGCCTTCTTAACACTTACTTACTATTCAGTGTGTCAATCTCCGTAGTTGTCTTCTGCATCATTCAAGGTCCTCCACAGATAGGGGCCAAGGAGAACCTCAGACAAATGGATGCTCTTTCATGAGAGTTCGGCATCCAATGCCAATACGCACCTCCATGTGCGGAGTCGGACTGCACCACGCCGAGTCACCACGTTCCTTTCAGCCTAAATGGAAGTGGCGGCACTCTGATCCTGCCCCTCTTTCCACTCAGACTTTGCCTTTTGTTTATTTATTGTTCTTTAAGCCGCTTGTTGGTGGGAGAGTCTTAGGAGATATCCAAAGCCTGTATTTTCCACACCCAAGAGAAGTGGGAAAAGAAAATGCTTGCCTCACTTTTTCTTTATTTAGAATTCTGGAACATTTCTGAATCCCTTAGTTTGAATAACGAATTGTGCCCATAGACTCTATTTCTGTTCTTGAAACATTCAGTTATCCTCCACTTCAAGGCACAGAAGGTATTACGAAGAGTACTGAGTGCTAGCTGGCATTTTTCTGTGGCTTTCTGAGATGTTACGTAATGTATATGACATGGCAGCATTGGCAGCAGGAACTTCTAAATATAGAAAAATTGCCCTCATGATCATTGTGTCACATCCAATTGGGTATAAAAATACATAGTAGTAAGAATAAGACAGCTGATAATTATGTTTTCAACTTCGAGAAATGTACAAAAAGAATGACCAAAATGAACCTTCCCAATTACAAAACCCAATGCTTATTTTTCTTGAAAGAAAATATTGGCAGCAAAACAAAGTATATGCTATATGTAGTCCCATGAAAAGAAGTGATAGAGAAATCAAAGCTATTATTTGACTACAGGTGGTGAATTCGCTTTCCAGGGCTGCTGTAGTACACAGTGCAGACTGGGCAGCTTCAATAAACAGTTGCCGAGACCAAAGTCCAGGGTCGAGGTGTTGCCAGGGCTGGTTTCTTCTAAGGCCTCTCTTCTTCGCTTGAAGATGGATGTCTTGTTCTGTCTTCGCGTGGTCTTCCTTCTGTGCATGCTCAAGTCTGTGTCTAAATTATTTCTTCTTCTAAGCATGTCAGTCACGTTGGATTAAAGCCCACCTGAAAGATCTCATTTGGTCGCGGTCATCCTGTTTCAAAAGCCTCAACTCCAAGTGAGATTCTTGGGGCGAGGCATTCATCATAAGGAAGCTGAGGTGACATAGTCCAGCCCATGACAGTTGGCGAGTTCCCAGTTGTCACTCAGAGCTCAGGCATGCAAATCCAGTCGGCACCCTGTATCCTCAGGCTCTGCATCTGTGGATCCCAATGACGGAAGATTGAAAATATCTTTGAAAAATTGCATCTGTACTGAAGATGTACAGATTTTTTTTGTTAGTATTTCCTAAGCAATATAGTATGGCAACTATTTATGTAGCATTTATGTTGCATTGGGTATTATAAGTAATCTATGTATGATATAAAGTATGCAAGGGAGTGTATATGGTTATATGTGCATTGTATGTCATTGTATGGAAAGAGTATGTTCAGAATGATTATTCATGGATATGAGGAATGAATAATTGAACACATATACTCTGGGAAAGGGCAGCATGAAAATTATAAGGCACCTTAGAAGTTAGGAAAGTAGACACCAGTGTTACAAAGCTCCCCAAAAAGTGCAGTGCTGAAAGCACATTAAGACAGAACCAGAAATTCATCATATGTTTATACATGACTTTAAATATCAGTTTAGTAAATAAAATACCTAGAAGTATTTTATTTGTGATTACTTATGATGTATACATATGCATATCGTATACCATATGATACCAGTCTCACAATGGTGATGTTTGCAAAGAGTGGCCAAGTGAACATCTACTTCTGCATTGATGGACCCATTTTGAAATGTGTAGAAGGTATTCAATGAAATATAGGTTACATTCATCCTCCATATTATCTCTAAGTAGCTAAATAAAAAAATTTTTTTTGGACAGGCAGAGTGGACAGTGAGAGAGAGAGACAGAGAGAAAGGTCTTCCTTTTGCCGTTGGTTCACCCTCCAATGGCCGCCGCGGGCGGCGCACCGCGCTGATCCGATGGCAGGAGCCAGGAGCCAGGTGCTTCTCCTGGTCTCCCATGGGGTGCAGGGCCCAAGCACCTGGGCCATCCTCCACTGCACTCCCTGGCCACAGCAGAGAGCTGGCCTGGAAGAGGGGCAACCGGGACAGAATCCGGCGCCCCGACCGGGACTAGAACCCGGTGTGCCGGCGCCGCTAGGCGGAGGATTAGCCTAGTGAGCCGCGGCACCGGCCCGCTAAATAAATTGATTTATTTTTATTCTAAAGTATAAAGGGAAGAATCCAACCCCTCACAAACTGATGTATTCTACATTCTACATGTATTCTACATTCTGAGCAACCTAAGGGTCAAGACTCTGTTGTTAAAGCAGTGGAGTTCTTTGGAGTCCTCTTCTTACCCCAAAGTCCTAAAGTAAAGTTTGGGGTCTGGTGAAGAGGACAGAAGCAGTGTGTGTGGGGACTACAAAAAGTTGAGAAGAATGCATATTATGTAAAAACTACACACGGATTGCAATTTATGGGGGCAAGAGGGAGGTACCCAGAAAACCTATCTTTTAATTCCCCTTTTCCAAAACTTGCTGACATACCCTCAAACTTCCTCTACTACTTACACATTCCATGTTTGGAAATATGGCTACCAAAGCCTACATTCTGTATTTGAGGCTATGCTCAGTTATTTTTCATAAAGCCTAATAAGCAAGGAACTAATCTCTTTGTTTTGTTCCAGGTTCAGTGTTCAAGGTAATGGCGATTGTCTCTATATAGATAAGACTGGGATAAGTGCTTCTGATTGTAATGATTTAAGAAGATATATTTGCAGCAGAAAAAGCCACTGTCTTTAAATAAAGAGCTCTCCCATGTGTGAAATAAATGCCAACTCTTCCTTCTACGCACCATAAATTCATGTCAATTTATTTTTCACCCAATCAAACATGTTTTAAGTTGATTGATGAAGATTGTATAAATTTTATCTTTTTTAACAGAACATGGTTGTATTTTCAGTCCATACATTCTGTACAGAAAAAGATGAAACACAGTAAAAGAGAAAATATATTTCATTTGTACTGCATGACAAAAGGTTAACATATGTAATCATAAATGAATGCCTAGAAATCATAAGAGATGAAGGATATGTGAAGACGATATCAATTAACTTTTATAGATTATAAAAGAAAGTTGGTAATATATTATCAATGATTTAAAATACTGATATCTAATAGTTATACAATTTCAGGAGATGAGCTACCATTCAAACTCTGGGAAAATATTCCCCAAGTAGTGGAAAATTTCTCAAAACGTAGGTGTCATATATACTTAGCCCTGAAAATTCCAACCTATAGAAATTATAATGTCCACTACATAGAAACTGTCACTACTGCACAGCTCACACAAAAACTGTTATGGATGATGGCGGAGTAAGGAGGGAGCTTGCTGATCTAGTCTAGAAGATAGTTTCTAAAAAATTAGAAAGAGTGCAGTCAGGGAAGAGTTAGGGAGAAAACAGCAGAGGAAACTGTACGCAACCTGGAGGGACACAGTGGACCTATGAGAAGCACAAGATGTTCACGATTCAGGACCCCAGCAGCTGAAAGCCACTGCACCAGCACTGGGGAGAGAGGTTAGACCAGACTGCAGCTGCCCAAGCCACTGGCGAAAAAGCTGCAGGAAAAGCCTGGAGCAAACCTGGTGTGGAGCCCCATGGGGGATAGAGTACGTGGAGACCAAATGGACGTAACAGATATCTACAGAACTTTTCACCCTAAAGTTGAAGAATACACATTCTTCTCAGCAGTGTATAGAACTTTCTATACAACTGGCAATATAATAGGCCATAAAGCAAGTCTCAGCAAATTCAAAAAAATCAAAAATCATAGCATGCATCTTCTCAGACCATAGTAGAATGAAGCTGGAAATCAGCAACTCAGGAATCCTTAGAACATATACAAACACATGGAGACTGAACAACATACTCCTGAATGAAATCATTAGAGAAATCAAAAATTTCTGGAAACGAAGATGACAATACAACATATCAAAACTTGTGGGATACAGCAAAAGCAGTGTTAGGAAAGTTTATAGCAATAGGTGCCTATATCAAGAAGTTGGAAAGGCACCAAATGACTTATCAATGCATCTCAAGGACCTAGATAAACAACAGCAAGCCAAAACCAAAACTAGTAGGAGGAAAAAAAATAGAGAAGAAATCAACCAAATTGGAAGAAGAAAAAAAATACAAAAGATCAGCAAAATGAAGAACTGGGTTATTTTGAAAAAATAAAATTGACACACCATTGGCCCTGCCCAACTAACCAAAAAAAGGAGAGAGAAGACAAAAATCAATAAAATTAAAGATGAAAAAAGAAATGTAATAATAGAAACCACAGAAATAAAAAGAATCACCAGAAATTACTACAAAGAGCTGTATGCCAAAAAACTGGGAAACCTAGAAGAAATGGATAGATTCCTGAACACATTCAAGCTACCTAAATTGACCCATGAAGACATAGAAAACCTAAACAGACCCATTATCAAGGTGGAAATTGAATCCGTAGTAAAGCCCCTCCAACAAAGAAAAGCCCAGGACCGGATGGCTTCACTGCTGAATTCTATGACATTTAAAGAAGAACTAACTCAAATTCTTCTCAAGCTATTCAAAACAATTGAAAGAGAGGGACTCCTCCAAAATTCTTTCTATGAAGCCAGCATCACCTTAATTCCTGAACCCGAAAAAGGCACAACAGAGAAAGATAAGTACAGATAAATTTCACTGATGAACATAGATGCAAAAATCCTCAACAAAATTCTGGCCAATAGAATCCAACAACACATCAGGAAGATCATCACCTGGACCAAGTGGGATTTATCCCTGGTATGCAGGAATGGTTCAACATTTCCAAATCAATCAATGTGATACATCATATTAACAAACTTCAGAACAAAAACCATATGATTATCTCAATAGATGCAGAGAAAGCACTTGACAAAATACAACACCCTTCCATGATGAAAACTCTAAGCAAACTGAGTATAGAAGGAACATCCCTCAACACAATCAAGGCAATTTATGACAAACCCACAGCCAGCATCAAATTGAATGGGGAAAAGTTGGAAGCATTCCCACTAAGATCTGGAACCAGACAAGTGTGGGGAGCAACTCCAACTAGACTAAGTTACTGGAATTAAGACTTATTCTATGCATCTGCTCTCCCACAATATGGCGCTGGGAGAGGAGTAAACAACTTTTACACAGCTGCCTCCAGTTCGACCAATAACCTGCAGGAGCTGATCCTGCTCCTGATTGGAGGAGAGCAGCGTACTCAGCGTGAGGGTAGCAGAGTTGGGATTGGTGGAAGAGGACTATAAAGGAGAAGAGAGACAACATGCACCAGGAACATCTAAGGGGAACATCCGGATAACATCTGAGCAGCCCCCAAGAGAGCCGGCCGGCAGTGTGCCGCTCCCCTGCGGAAGTGAGGAAAGTGGCAGGGGGAGCCACCCTTCCACAGAGGTGGAAGGATCGGCAGCCAACCCGGGAAGAACCAGCAGCAAACCCGGGAAGGGCCAAGCAGACAAAAGAACAGCACAGGGTCCTGTGTCGTTCCTCCACGAAGAGGGGGAGCGACAACAAGGATGCCCACTCTCACCATTGCTACTAAACATAGTCCTAGAAGTTTTAGCCAGAGCCATTAGGCAAGAAAAAGAAAGCAAAGGTATACAATTTGGGAAAGAGGAAGTCAAACTATCCCTATTTGCAGATGACATGATTCTATCTACAGGGGATCCAAAAGACTCCACCAAGAGACTATTGGAACTCATAGAAGAGTTTGGTAAACTAGCAGGATGTAAAATCAATAGAGCACCTAAAAGGAAATCTGTTTAAGTTAAATTGATACTTTGAGAAGCAATGACTTAAACAGTCCTTGTCTTGACTGTCAAGGAACATTTTTTTTTTCTTCTTAATACTATTTATTGAACTCTATTTAACAGTTAATCATATGTTTTTGTATAAAGTCAATTGAAATTAGATCTCAGTAAAAAATGAGTGTAAATAAGAGAGAGAGGATGAAGTTTGTAACTGTAAAACTGTAAAGTTCTGCATACATTCCTATAGACATATATATATATATGTAAAAGAAAGCTTTTATTTAATGAATACAGATTTCATAGGTACAACTTTAGGAATATAGTGATTCTTTCCCCCCCATACCCACCCTCCCACCCCCAAATCCTCCTCCTCCCTCTACCATTCAATTCTTCATTAAAATTCTTTTTTAACTAACTTTATATACAGACCAACTCTATACTAAGTAAAAATTTCAATAATTTTTACACACACACAGTATAAAGTACTGTTCAAGAACAAGTTTTACAGTTAATTCTCATAGTATAACTCATTAAGGTCAGAGGTCCTACATGGGGAGCAAGTGCACAGTGCCTCCCGTTGTTGATTTAACAATTAACACTCTTATGTATGATGTCAGTGATCACCTGAGGCTCTTTACATGAGCTGCCAAAGCTATGGACACATTTTCAGTCCACAAACTCCATCAGTATTTAGACAGGGCCACAAGCAAAGTGGAAGCTCTCTCTTCCCTTTAGAGAAAAGTACATCCTTCTTTGATCGCCACTTCTTTCCAGTTGGGTCTCTCTCACAGAGATCCTTCATGTAGAACATAGCTTATCACAGTGTCTTGGCTCTCCATGCCTGAAATTCTCTTATGGGCTTTTTAGCCAGATCCGAATGCCTTAAGGGTTGACTCTGAGGTCTCTCCTTTTTAATTCTATCTTTTGTTATTACCGACACTTGATCTTATTATGTGATCACTTTGACACTTAATCCTATCTATATGATCAATTGCACACTTAATATGATCATTTTGACACCTAAGATGACATTAGTACCAC